TTGTTCACCAAAATTGATTCATCCGATGTGCTATATATATGCCTGTTTGTTTGAAGTCAGCGACTAGGAAGATTAAACGAAATGTTAACATCTCGCGACATTTGTCTTCTTTCTGTTTTGATGAGACAGGAAAACTGTCCACCACCAAACTAGCAGCGGTGTTCGTCAAGGGTACCTTAGTTCGCCATTCCTGTTCAATTTCGTCATAGACGAAACACTGGAGAACACACTAAGTGGTCGCCAAAATGTTGGTATTGAGTTGGCAAAAGAAGAAGAGCTGTGCGACCTAGAGTACGCTGGTGACATCGTTCTCCCGTTCGAATGCATGGAGGATGCAAAAGGAGCACTTGATAGATTAGAAGGTTCTGTCGCTCCGTTCAGCATGGGCTTTGCACGTTCAAAATGCAAAGTGATGCTGCAAGACTTGGTGTCGTCGAGTTCCGTTCTGAAAGTACAAGGTCAGAAATTAGCTGGATTTGACCGTTTCTCGTATTTGGGTTGCTGTGTGACCAACAACGGAGAAAACCTCCCACCTTTCCAAAGCTCGAGCAGCGTCAACAGGACTTAAATACCTGTGGCGACGGAGTGACGTTTCACTGAAGTTGAAAAGTCACGTATACTGCGTCACTGTACGATCAGCCCTGCTTTACGGTTGTGAAGCCTTTAATCTGCGGGTAGAAGACATCTGTCACCTAGTAGTTTTGGACAATCGATGCTTACGTAGTCCGGCCCAAGTGGAATGGGTTGAATGGGTTATTAACGTCACTTGTCGGGTGTTTGGGAATACAGCGAACTCGCTATCGCATCGAAATCAACTCAATAGGCTCCGTTGGTTAGGATACGTTTCGCGTATGTCCGACGGTCGCCGACCGCAGCGCAACTTATTCTTTAGCACAATAAGTAAGGGCTGAAGCTAGGACGCGTCTACGTATTCTATTGATCGGGCTTATTACGCGGTTTCCCAAGGCGAAGACGAATTGAAAAGGAAGTCGGATATGAGCGTTTAGCGTGTATGTGACCTGCAGCGGAAATTGTACAGAGAGCAAGCGCACCATACAACTCACCGGAAATTGTGCCAGGATCGAGGTCGTATGAGTTCTCGAAAAGGAGGGCAATAAAACAAAATAGGGTCTTTACATGTGTCGAGGGAATGGTGTTGGGAAATGAAAATATTGTCACTACAATTCGCAGTGGCTGTTGCAGGCTGGAGAAAGCCACGTGGAGGCCAGCAGGTGACGTGGACACGAGGAGTGAAGAAATGTACGGAACGATTAGGTAGAGTAGGCATCTCTCGTATTCCGGGGTGGGGTTCAAAAGACTCCGAAACCCCGTGGTTGGAGGTCATGGCTGTGCACCGGCAGCCATGACAATCGCTCGGTCACTTATTACCAGACCAGAATGCTTGAAATAGTATGTATGCACAGTTGGACTGTGTAAATTGTGTTGACCATAGAGATTCGCTTTCTTTGCCCGTCCCTAAAATTAAGTCCAATCCCTATCCCCCTTACACACTCTCACTTATCTTGTATACAGTATGAGTTTGGCAGCGAGCAATGAATTTTGTACTGACCATGATTGTACGAAGAAAAGGAGCAATACACGAGGACGTTTTCCGTTCATATTTTCTTCACAGTCACCTCTGACTCCAACTGTGATACTTCTTTGTTTTACTTCTGCTTGTTTTACTGAGCACGTTTTTCCGCTCAGGTGTATATATAAGCTGTGTCCTGTTCAAACCCAGGCAACACGTGTGACACGCTTTCGCTTTGCTACTGTATTTATTTCTTGCATTGTTCAGCGTCACCTCGGCACGTTTCGGTACTATTTAGTACCACGATTCGCCAATAAACGTCTACGACTCCCACGAATGTTTTCGTCTACCTCGGGCAACGAGACACTAGGAGGTCGCGCACACTTTGAGACTCGTAAGGAGACTTAATGGCAGGCCTTCAACACTAGCTGGCTTCAAGGAATCAAGCCGTCATCATTTGCTTGTGTTAGACTGTGCATGACTGAAAGGATATTGGAAATTCTGGACCCTCTAGGGAGAAAGCCCTGTTGGGAAAGAAGCTGGTTTTCTGGTTGGTGCTTAAGAATTGACCTTTATAAAACCCGTTTGAAGACCCTGCTGGACACGCTTCTCTGTATTACGCTGTACAGCGATAATGATGATTAAATGCAAAAACATTTTTGTTTTTCATTCATAGTTGTTGACCATCTATCATCTGTTTCCAACATCTTGATCAATAGCTTAAACTCTGAAAGGCCACAGCACTTCAAATGCATTGAATGTTTTCTATCTGCTAACCTCAAGTGGTCCTACCACGTATAACAAACATTTCTCAGTCAGAAAGTTGAGGTTTTACAGCAAACGTCTTCTACATTTGAAGATGCCCTTGTGCCAGTTCTAAATTTATTCCCTCGTGTGTTTTATGTAATTTAGCCTACTGCTCTTCCACTATCTTCCCCGGCCTATCATCTAAGGACTTCATATTGACCAGATGCTCTTTGAAAAGCATCTCTAGATATGGAGCTGCCCCTCATGTGGCGCTGGTCAACCCCAGTGTCAACCAACACCTTAAGGCGTGCGACCTTTGTGTGACTCACTCTTGTCTGATGCATAACATCCTTTAAACTCAACCCTCTCTCTCCTTTTCCACTTCTGTCACCCACAACAAATTTAATCCTTAATATGCTCGTGCCGCAGCTTTCCACATGAACCCATCACTGACAATCAGCAGTGTGAAGAGCATCCACTGATGTATTGATTACCGTCCGAAAAATTGTCTGGCTTAAGTGAACTAATGAATAAGACAACTAACCATCTCCGTCCGAGTAGATGTGGTCCATTTCCTGTGAACGCCGGTGTTCCACAAGGTTCCATACTCTCGCTCACCCTCTTTCTACTATTTATCAACAATCTTTTGTCCAAAACCTCTAATCCCATCCAATACTTTGCCGATGATGCCATTCTCCATGGTTCTCTTTCTTACCCCACACCCCATCAAGCTACTAACAATATCGATCACGATCGTAATGCCATTAGTGCTTCTGTTGCCTACGCTCTCGGCATGGGGTTTTACCAACCATAGGTGTTTCAATGATTCCAAACTTCTTTCCTCTCAGTCTATCTTAAACATGTCCCTTATTCTCCACAATTGCTTTTGACTCTCTGCCCATTCGTTCCACAAATTCTCTCTCCCTTCCGGAATTATCCATCAATTCTTCTCTCTGTTGGTCCCGTTTTATTTCTACACTTGCCACCAGCACTGCGCGCAAAGTCGGTTTTCTAGTACGCGCAAAGCGTTTCTTTGCACCCAAGCACCTTTTATACAAAGCTCAAATCAGCCCGATGCTCGAATGCTACCGTCCCGAATGGGTTAGAAACTTCATATTCTGCTCTTTATCTCCTCGACCGTATTCAACGTAAAGCCATCCGGCTGATCGACGAGCCGTCTTTAACTTCCAACATGCAGTCGTTTTTCCACCGCCGGGCAGTTGCCTCGTTATCTTTTTTCTATCGTTACTATTTTGGTTTCTGTTCTTCCTAACTCGCTTCAGCGGTTCCCTTCCACTGACCTTTTCTCGCCAAACTCGTTTTCAGGCGGGCAGTCACCCTTATTAGGTTTCTGTTCTCCAGCTGTCGGACTTCTATCTTTCGATCTTTTTTCCCAAAGACTGCGAAATTGTGGAACACTCTTCCCATTTCCGTGTTTCCAAGCTTTTACAAACCTACCCTTTTCAGAAGCAGGATTAACAAATAGACTTAGATGATCCCCCACATACCTCCCCCTTACGGTATATCATTGATTATGGGGTTTACCCCTCTTGGTATAAATCATCTCGTGTATAATAATAAACGCTGATTGAATTAAGATCTTATGTAGTTTATCACCTGGATTTCATGATTCACTTTCACTTTGTTCGTGAGAAATAATAGGTTTTAGTTATTACAAATTTATGAAGGGCTTTCCTTCATTGTACGCAGGCATGTAATAGATAAACCGAAAGTGATAGAGTTAAAGATCTGACACGCGATCAACAGCATACATCATATACAAAAAACGTGAAACCGAATGGATAAAATTGAATTAAACAAACGATTGCACCATATAGGTAAATTTGCTTTCGTTATTTCACAAAGCGACCATTCCAAACGTTATCATACAGTATGGTTAATTCACATTCGGGTGATTCACGTCGGTTGGAGAAATTTCGTGGAACGCTTGGAACTGACGACAATATTACAGCGGTGATGAACGGAATTCGACTACACGGGACGGTTACACATTATTTATATATATAAATATATACGTGATGCTAACCTAAGAACAATAATAACAAAAGATGAAGGGATCAGGGAAAAGAACAGAGCGACACGAAAATCAAACATATCCAAAAAATTCTGTACATATACATGTATATAAACCAAATAGATTCAACGTTTCATCTTGCCCTTATAACTAGTATACTGTTATCATGTGCGCCAAACTATTTATATGTAGTATTGTCGTTACATGAAGGAGGGAAGGCGTGAAGATCGATTAGGTGAATAAATCTGTATTCAATATTCCTTTAAAGGTGGTGGTGGCCCGGTGGTAATGTCACCAAATTACCACCTCGGGGGACATGTGCTCGAACCCCACCACCACCGCCTGACTTCCCCCATGGCAGCCCTTTGATTGGCAGCTTCCCCCTTCCTGAAAATTGTATCCTTGTGTGTTTAATAAAAAGGAAGTAAAATGAGAAAAAAATATTATTCAATCTTTGTATCAACAAGTGACTAAAAAGAATTCTCCACCATTGTTTTGGATACCAACTGCAGCTATGAATGTCCGTACTTTTACCATAACAGTGTTGTTAATAAAGGTTTCAAAACTCCCTAGATAGGAAATCCTGCATGCAAAACAAATCCTGCTGAGTACGATTTTAACAAACTGAAGGCTTCCGAATTTTTACTGATATTGGGATTACTGAAATAGGTGCAAGTAAGGGGAAATTTACAAATCAGGTTGAGGAACGAAAATTCTCGAAAAATTAGCAATACAAAGAAGTCCAATGATTATTTCAATGAGATAAAATATTAACAACATCACTGTGAGAACAAATTCAAAGTACATTGTATACATTTGCCATAAAATAATCCACACACACAAAACAACCACAGGCGGAACAACACAAATGGACAGAATCATGCCCCGAACGGACTCCAACAGGTTTGACCGCTTCAGCGAAATGATACGAATTGCCTCAACCACAGCAAAATAGAAGAGTAATAGCATTTCGCACACGAAGAACTCTAATTTGTACGGAAGCGTCAATCCTTTAAATATCGTTATTAACAGTTCACAAAGGAAGAACAAGGCAGCATAGTATGCGTTGAAATGCAGTGTCACTTGTAATGATAGCGAAGAGTGATTTGCTTGGATCGCGACATATTTGACGTAATCGCGTTTAGAATCTGTTTCTTTCGGTTTGACTTCTGGCATTGTATTCAATCAGTTAAGCATGGAGTGTAAGAGTAGGTCACCAAGTATGCCAGATCTGAAATGATGAAACAACAACAAATAACTAACTAAAATCATTTTAATCGACTAAGATACTTTTCTTATTTATGAAATGATTACATGCGAATTGAAGCTTAAAACGTTTAAGACAAGGGAGCTGAATTGAAGTGACTTGATGGTTTGAGAGTGAACTTCACATTTCGATTTTTCCACGGTGTGACGTGACAATCGATGCTGCAAATTTTTGGTTTGGATGAGCGGCTTGCGGACAAGCATGGTGCCAACGCCACAATAATAATAACAATAACAGGATATGGGTGGATTGGGATACAGAACAGAATGAAAAGGTGAAACAGTTAAAATGAGAAATAGTAGATAACTGGAATAACAAATTTTTGTGTTTCACCGTACACCTTTTGATATTTTTGTGTTTTAGTTTGTCGTTTTTAACAGTTGAATGTCATGGCGGCGCCACTGGTGTCACAGGTTGGCGAAAGCTGCTCTAGCTTTCGGTATTCAAGATGTGATCTCCTCCTCAACACCAACACCATTTGCAACCAAACCCTCGAGGTACTTAAAGCTCTCAACTACTTCTAGCTTATCACCACAGAGGGTGGGTGCAGGCACAGGCTGCTGCCAGTCTTGAACAAGAACTTTGCACTTGGATAGTGCAAAGCACATACTATTCCTGGATACCTCGATCGCTAAGCNTAAGCGGTTCAAAGCGTCTTGGACTGCCTGTGTTGTCACCCAGCAAGGCAATGTCATCCTCCCTTGGGAGGAATTCGACTCCACCGTTTGCTACACCGAACATCCTCTATGACAAAGTTGAAAAGGAATGGGGATATAGGGCAACCTTGTCGAACTCCACTAAGGATGGCGAAGAGTGGTGAAAGCTGGCCATAGGCCCTTATCCGACCCGAGGTATGACGATGCAACTCTTTGAGGATCGATCACCGGCACTCCATTCCTCAACAAACAGCTCCATAGTGCGGTCCTATCGACAGAGTCGAAGGTCGTGCGGATGTCTTAGAATACAATGATCGTTGGTCTTTCATAGGCATGACGGTTCTCTAGCAGCTGTCGGAGGGTGAAGATCTGATCGATGCACCCACGACCAGCGCCAAACCCAGCCTG